ATCTAGTGAAAATATTGTGATATCCACTATATTCACTCTTTTCCAAATTTTAAGTGGATTAAAATAAGTCTAAGAAGGATTTTTAAGTCGAATTTGTAACCTCACAATTTGATTAGAAGTCAAAACAGGCAGAAGAAAGACAGAAATTGTTCATGAACAAATCCTAAAACATTCAGATCACTTTTTACAATTATAAACCTTAAGTATTTGATGAGTTTAAACCTCTTGAGATGGATAAACCCGGATTAGCTTTGTGATAAGTCAGAAATCAATAAAAGAACAATTGAAGGAGTCGAAAAAGCAATGGAAAATGCCTTCAAAGGTTTATGAGAAGTGTCTAAAGTGTTAAAGATTGAAGTGTTGTGAACATTGAAGGCATAATATCTCCCCCTTGATCAATTCTTTATTTTCTGTCATTTTAAATTGTATTTTTGCCAACGCACAGAGATTTTTATCTATCCCATGAAATGATTCAATAAACAATTTTCACTCTGTTTATTGTGCAGAATTTTAGGGGGTGAAAATGATAGAATTGTACATAATCCAATAGTTTCCACACACACATTTTCAGTTCAAATGAAATTTCCGCTTCAAATTATTTTTGAAAAATATCATTTAGAGAGAAACATTATTCAATTTCCGACCTAAATAAATTGCGAACATAAATTCAATTTCAAGCAGATTTTTGCTAAAAAAAAACACTCGCATGAATACCAAAATCAGGTGAAATTGATTTTCTGCTCATCAGCTGAAAAGAAAATTGAGCTGTCCATTTTGCCAGTGCGAGTTTAATTTTTTTGAGTCCAATTGGAAAAAGAACAAGGGGGAGATATTACAGTCCAGAAGTGCTTAAGAAGTGGAAGTGCTTGAAAAACCTACAATATTTCCTTCCTGAGTGCTTCTTTTACTGACAAATCATCCCGATTCTAAAGATTTTCTTTGAATTTCTACGCAGAAACAATAATTTTCTAGGTTATGTAACAAAATAAAGACTTATTTAGTGAATAATTCTTATTCTTAAGTCACCAAAATTGCTAGTAATTGGCAGAATAAGGCATTTTCATGCGAAAAATATTGATATTCTGCACGTTTGATGCCAAGAAACACTGAAAATTGTATTAAATACAATCATAACCTCAAAAAAAAACCATCTTAGACTTGAAAAATGTTCATTTAGAAAAAGATTTTGGCTCAATTTCTATTCTTAATCGACAATTTTGAATACTAGAATACTAGAATACTTTGAAATGGAATTTTTGAACATCTTTTAGTAATATTTTTGAGGTTATGTTGGGAAAAGACACCCAAAAATGCAATTTGAAATGAATTTTTACACAAATATCGGATGGAAACTTGATATAAAAGTAATTTTCGCCCTGAATTGGACTCATTTGATGCCAAGAAATGCCTCAAATTGTGTTTTATCAAACATAACCTCAAAAATTATGATCGTTTTGGACAAATTTGACATAAATTCGCATAAATTCTGCCAGTTTTTAGCAGAATTAAGCAGTTACAAGCATTTAACTGTGATTTCTTGATCTTTTGATGCCACGAAACATAGAAAATTGTGCTAAGATTCAACATAACCTCAAAAATTGTAATTTTCACTTGGAAAATGTCAATTTTTGACGAATTTCTAGACATTTTTGACTGTGAATCAGCAATTTAAGGATCATTGGCAAATCATAAGAGATTCGAACGGAGTTTTTGAAGATCTTTTGGTGACATTTTGAGGTTATGATCGAAAAAACACCCAAAAAAGCAATTTGAAATGAATTTTTACACAAATATGGAATAGAAACTTGATATAAAAGTAATTTTCGCCTTGAATTGGACTCTTTTGATGCCAAGAAAAGCCTCAAATTGTACTAAGATCAAACATAACCTCCAAAAATTGTCATTTAAAAGGGCTTTTCAGACATTTTTGCCTCTTAATCAGCAATTATTAGTTCATTGGCTATTTTTAACAGATGATTTTGTGATTTAGAAAGTCTTCAAGTGGTGTTTTTGAATCACTTTTAGTGATATTTTGAGGTTATAGTTGGAAAAATACCCAAAAAAAAGTCATTCAAAGTTAGATTCTTCAAGAAATATCCGATGACAACTTAAGAAATTCACGAGGATTGCTGAAGTTGGAGAAAAGTGACTTCCATTCTTTTGATTTCTTTATATATTCCATTATCTATTCCAATCCATTCCATCTATTCCATCCATTCCTAAGAATATTCTTTCGAATAATTACAAAATACTCCCAAATCGAACTTCAATTTGTCGCAATCATCTCAGAAAGATTTTTGCTCACAAAATTCCAACGTAAATCTTCATTAGAAGAGAATTTAGCATAAGATCTTGAAGTGTCGCGGGTTCGATTCTCCTTCAGTTCTGATTTTTTCATTATTTTTTTTTCATTTCTGTTTCATTTTTCGAGGATTTTCCTTCACTTTATAGTGTTTTATCAACACTTTTCGCTCAATTTCTTCACGAATTATCTGTAATAATGAGAGAGAATTTTTTTCTCGCTCTTTTTAACAGCTTTTATGTCAATTCTCGGTGTTGAAACTTGTCAAAAAAACCTCTTTTTGACGCCCAAAATGTAATTTTCCACTAAAAGTCGTTTGGAAAGCTGCTAAAATCGCATTTTTACGTCCTTTTCCTTCGCACATTTGCCCGTCATGAGTTCAAATCCAACTCGTGGCAAGTTTTTTTTCACTTATTTTCCTATTTTTTGTCTTTTTTACACCACAATTTAACCCAATTTTGGCTAATTTTGGGGAGTTTTTAAATGGCTTTCAATAAATAATTCGCCATCCATAAAATAAACCCCGGAAAATGTTATTTGTGAAGGAAAAGAATTAAAAAAAAAAGAATCTGAATACTTTAAATTCTCATTCTTTAATCCACAAATTAACAATCCATTCCATGGAATTTTCTACGTAAATTTCCATCAATTCCTGGATATTCTTTGGAAAATGGTTAAATTCATTCCTCACTTGAGCAACCTTTGGAAATTCATTATAATTTGGGAATTATTGTGGAAACAGCCTAAAAATTTCTATTTCTTGAAGTGTTGTACAGATTTAAGGGCATATTATCTCCCCCTTGGGAGGAAAAAAGCATCAATAAATTCAGTCTGCAGAATTGATTTTCAGTCCCTTTTTTGGAGCGAACTGGGAATAAATATGAAAGCTTGTGTGTGTGTGAAAATCGGCAGAAAAATCTCTAATTGCCACTAAAAAACAACCCCATTTTGGCTCAATATCACCGTTAAAATCCACTCAATATTTTCCCCCGATAAAAGCCCCATTTTCCAATGAAACCCATTCGCTTGGGACACATTTAAATTGTGCTCCAATTTTAATATTATACGCTCTCTGCCATGAATATTAATTATAGTGATGTTTCAGTGGCGCTTTTTTTCCGGGGGTTTTTCTCCATTGAAAGGGCTTTCATGCATGGCTATTTGGGCGAAGTGTAATTGGTCTGTATCAATTACATACGTTGCCAGAGAGAGAGAGAGAGTTTGATATATAAAATTTATTTCAATCACGCATTTTGAGTGCTTGTAATTCGAAACTTTGTGATTATTCAATCTTTTTCTTCGATTATTTCGTGATTTTTACTCAAATTTTGATTATTTTCTCAATATTTCTTAATTATTTCCTGATTATTTCATTAAAAATTTATTATTTTATACAAATTTTGATTTTTTGTACATTTTTTTTTATTAATTTCTAAATAATTCTTTAAAAAATTTAATTATTTTATACAAATTTTGATTATTTCGTTCAAGATTCTGATTTAATCAGAAAATGATTGTTTTCCAAATAAAAAATTACGAAAAAATAAAATTTTGAATAAAATAATAATAAAAAATAAATATTTTCCAAAGTAAAATTGCAAAATAATCAAATCAAAAAAATAATATTGCAAAATAATCAAATCAACAAAAATAAATCAAAAAAAATTTATTTTCCAAAGCAAAATTGAAAAAAAAAACAAACAAATATTGAATAAAATAATCAAAAAATGATTGTTTTCCAAATAAAAAAATGCAAAATAATCAAATTTTGAATAAAATAATAATAAAAAAATAAATATTTTCCAAAGTAAAATTGCAAAAAATCAAATTCTGAATTAAATGATCAAAAATTTGATTATTTTCCAAAAAAATAATTTTGCAAAATAATCAAATCCACAAAAAAATAAAAAAGATTATTTCCCAAAGCAAAATTGAAAAAAAAAAACAAATTTGGAATAAAATAATCAAAAAATGATTGATTACCAAATAAAAAATTGCAAAATAATCAAATTTTGAATAAAATAATAATAAAAAATCAATATTTTCCCAAGAAAAATTGCAAAATAATCAAATCAACAAAAATAAATCAAAAAAATTTTATTTTCCAAAGCAAAATTGAAAAAAAACCAAATTTGGAATAAAATAATAATAAAAAAATAAATATTTTCACCTGAAAAATTGCAAAATAATCAAATTCTGAATGAAAAGATCAAAAATTTCATATTTTTTCCAAGAAAATAATTTTGCAAAATAATCAACAAAAAAATCAAAAAATTTTTATTTTCCAAAGCAAAATTGAAAGAAAAACAAATTTTGAATAAAATAATCATAAAATGATTGTTTTCCAAATAAAAAGTTGCAAAATAATCAAATTTTGCATAAAAAAATTGATTATTTTCCAAAATAATATTGCAAAATAATCAAATTTTAAATATAAAGTATAAAAAATAGATTATTTTCTTAAGTAAAATTCAGAAATAATCCAATTTTCTATTAAAAAGCCTAAAAATAAGAATAATTTCTTAAGTAAAATTGAAAAAAATTCAAATTCTGAAGTAAATAATTTTCAAAAAAATATTATTTTTGTAGGAAAAATTGAAAAATAATCAAATTCTAAATGAAATACAGAAAAAAAGAAATTTTTTTCAATAATAATATTCACAATTATTCAATTCCATATGAGAGAAAAAATACTGACTGTCAAGTTGTTGTCGGCAAAGTTGAGCCACGCGAGGGCTTGCAGGCCTGTGAAGGCGTCCACATCCACATCCCTGATCACATTCCCGTCCAGCTCCAGGGCGTCGAGCAGCCTGAGGCCGAGGAAGCTCTCATTGCGGACGGATTCGATGAAGTTTCCGGTGAGATCGAGGCGTCTCAGTTGATGACAATAGACGAGATTGCTGGTCGGCACCTCGAGGATCTGATTGTTCTCCAGCAGGAGCAGCTGAAGTGCGCCCAGGGAGCGAAAGGACGTGTCCTCGAGGCTGATGATGCGATTGTTGGTGAGATCGAGCTCCGCCAGGGCGATGAGATCCACCAGAGCACCACTGTGGATGCCCTCGATGAAGTTGCTGCTCATGTTGAGCGACTGAAGGCGCTTCAGTCCTCTGAAAGCATCCTTGCCCAGTGTCGTGATGAGATTCCGACTCAAGTCCAGACGCTGCAAATTGCTCTGATACTCAAAATTCTTCGCACCCAGCGTGTCAATGCGATTCTGGGAGAGATCCAGTGTCTCCAGGTGTGTGTAGAAGGGCAGCGTGTAGTGGACATTTGTGATGAGATTCATGGCGAGATTGATGAATTTCACGTCGGGATTCAGCTGAATTGGCACAACTTCGAGGCCCGCCTCGGCGCACGACACACGCAAGTTCTTGTCACCGTCGCAGGTGCACTTCGAAGGACAAAATGTCCATCCTGACGTCAGGCAGAGGACAAAACTGAGACTCAGCAGAAGCACTTTTGCCATGACTCTTGTGATGTGTCACTTCACTTGGCTGGATGATCAACAGCTGATGAGCAGAATTTTCTGCATTTCTGCAAGAGAACAACAACAGCAAAGCATGAGCTTCAGCAAGGGTGTGTGTTGATGATGAGGGGGTGGAATTTTATTAGAGCGCAAAATTGTCACAGTCAAGTTGGGGATTTTGTGTTTAGGTTTGGCATTAGAGAGAAATTGTCTGCTTAATCCTTTTTTGCCCCCTTTTTTTTCCACCCTCAATAAAGCACAAAACATACGCTTGACCTGACATTAACGTCCATGCTCATGAGGAGGAAAAAAGTGTGCTTGCCAAGGGGGAGATATTACAGTCCAGAAGTGCTTAAGAAGTGGAAGTGTTTGAAAAACCTACAAAATTCCTTTCCTGTGCGCTTCTTTTACTGACAAATCATCCCGATTCTAAAGATTTTCTTTGAATTTCTACGCAGAAACAATAATTTTCTAGGTTATGTAACAAAATAAAGACTTATTTAGTGAATAATTCTTATTCTTAAGTCACCAAAATTGCTAATAATTAGCAGAATAAGGCATTTTCATGTGAAAAATATTGATATTCTGCACATTTGATGCCAAGAAACACTGAAAATTGTATTAAATACAAACATAACCTCAAAAAAACCATCTTAGACTCAGAAAATGTTTATTTAGAAAAAGATTTTGGCTCAATTTCTATTCTTAATCGACAATTTTGAATACTAGAATACTTTGAAATGGAATTTTTGAAGATCTTTTAGTAATATTTTTGAGGTTGTGTTGGGAAAAGACACCCAAAAAAGCAATTTTGAATGAATTTTTACACAAATATCGGATGGAAACTTCATATAAAAGTAATTTTCGCCTTGAATTTAACTCTTTTGATGCCAAGAAATGCCTCAAATTGTGCTAAAATCAAACATAACCTCAAAAATTATCATCGTTTTGGACAATTTTTACATTATTTCACAGAAATTCTGCCAGTTTTTAGCAGAATTAAGCAGTTACAAGCATTTAACAGTGATTTTTTGATCTTTTGGTGCTAATTAACACAGAAAATTGTGCTAAGATTCAACATAACCTCAAAAATTGTCATTTTCACTTGGAAAATGTCCATTTAGACAACTTTCTGGACAATTTTGACTGCGAATCGACACTTTTAAGATCACTAGCAAATCAAAAAATACTGTAAATTGAGCTAAGATCAAACATAACCTCAAAAATTGTCATTTGGAGTTGGAAAACATTTGTTTAAAATACTTCCTGGGCGTTTGTTGACTCTGAATCAGCAATTTTGAATTTGAAAACATGATTTTATCATCTAGAAAGCTTCCAATTGGTGTCTTTGAAGATTTCTTACTGATATTTTTGAGGTTATGATCGGAAAAGACACCCAAAAAAGCTATTTGAAATGAATTTTTACACAAATATCGGATGGAAACTTAATATAAAATAATTTTCGTCTTGAATTGGACTCCTTTGATGCCAAGAAATGCCTCAAATTGTGCTAAGATTGTACATAACCTCAAAAATCATCATCGTTTTGGACCAATTTGACATTATTTCACATAAATTCTGCCAGTTTTTAGCAGAATTAAGCAGTTACAAGCATTTGACAGTGATTTTTTGATCTTTTGATGTCAAGAAACACTGCAAATTCTGCTAGGATTCAACATAACCTCAAAAATTGTCATTTTCACTTGGAAAATGTCAATTTTTGACGACTTTCTGGACAATTTTGACTGTGAATCAGCAATTTAAGGATCATTGGCAAATCATAAAAGATTCGAACGGAGTTTTTGAAGATCTTTTGGTGACATTTTGAGGTTATGATGAGAAAAGATGTCCAAAAACAGTGATTTTAAGTCGATTTCATGGAAATATCAAATGAAACCTCAAGAGATTCATTATAATTTGGGAATTAATGTAGAAAAATACTAAAAACTTCATATTCTAGAAGTGTCAGACAAATTTGGAAGTGTTTGGAAGTCGTGTACAGATTTAAGGCGTAATATCTCCCCCTTGGTGCTTGGTAAAAGCTCAACTTTTGCACATCTTTTTCTGCACTCTCTCTCACTGGATGTTTTTCATGGAGAGCTTCCAAGAAGTGCGATGAAAAATTCACCAACATTTCATTCCCAAATTCCCAAGTTCTTTGAACTTCAGCGCTCTCAAGGATGCACAGGAAAATATCAGGATTGCGCCATTTTATTACACCGCAATAAGACTGTATAATATTTGGACCGATTTTCATCATTTTTCATGCAAATGTAAGATGATAAAATTCAAATTAAAACAATTTTTAAGAGATTGAAAGAAGAAAGTGAGGTTAGGAGAAGAATTTTTCGTTCTATTTTGTCATTGTATGATTTGTTGTGTAATTTTTGGAATATTTCTTTTAATTTTAAAACATTTTTTGAATATCTCAATTAATCTTTAAATATTTCAATGTTTTTGATACTTTTTCTTGTATTTTTTATGTTGATTTCTTCTTTTTCAATGAAAATTAAAACAAGTAATGAAAAATTGTCTTCATTTTACATATAAAAAAAGTCTTTTTTTTAATATTTTCAATAAAATTTAATATATTTGCTTTTTTCCATAATGAAAATCTTCAAAACTTGATTTTTTTTTAGGTTATGTATGACTTTAGCGTGGTTTTTATACAATTTTTACTTGATTTATCAACAAAATTGTGTCTTTTTTTCTCAAGTCATTTAAGTAATCGTTGCAACTTTACAGGTTTTGTATTTCATTTCGTAAAAGCTATGAATTTGAGTTGTAATTTTACGCTTTCAATACGAATTTCTGCTGTTAAAACGCCATTTTTTTATGATATTGATTGTATTTTTTTCGAGGGAATGATTGAATGTTCGGAAATTAAAATCAAAACTTAATTTTACAATACTTTTAGGATGTCCGGAAACACATAACCTCAATTTGGTTCAATTAATCTATGATAATCAACGTTAAAACATCATTATTAACATCATATTTTCGTGTGATTTTCGTGTGATTTTCATGTTGTGCCTTTACATGGTAAAAAATACCTCTTTACATTTTACACGTAAAGAATGTGTAAAAAATGTAAAATGTAAAGTAAAATGTAAAATGTAAAAATTCTTTTCTGAAGTTTAAAAAAACTACTGAAATTCCCGTGGAATTCCCGTGGAATTGCAGAAAATACTTTTTGTCACATACGCGAGAAGACACAAAATTGTAAAGAAACAGTGAAAACTCAGGAAAATCTGCAAATTGTTGGCATAAATTGAGAAAAATATAATTTCTCCACTGTCTTATATGTTATGAATTGTAATCTTGCAACGCATATTTTACGCATTCATAGAATTATCTTATTTAAAATGTGATGAAAATTAAGTTGTAACGACCTCTTAAGGATTTAAGGACGTCGTTGAAGAGTTCTTGCATTAATTACACGCAATCGCGGGTGTATTTAAACATCGCTGAGCATTGAATAAACTCTGGCAAAGTGCATTTAGTGGATTTCTCTTTTTTCTTCCTTCGGCGTCATCAGCATCATTTACTGGGGCACGAAGCGTGTCTCTCAGCATGTCCAGGGATTTCAGCTCAACGAGCCACGAACCACAGAAAGTCGACTGTATCTGCTGCCAAGTTGCCCATTTGCGTCAACCCATTGCGCTTAATTTATGTGAAAGTGGGCGCCGAAGCGCCCCGCAAAAGCTCCCAAAGCTCACCAGCAAATTGACCGTCTCGGCCAAAGGCGCAGAGACAAGGGGGAGATAAGACGGCTTCAACAGTGTACACAAAACACTTCTGCAAATCTTTCTGAAGAATCTTCAACACTTCAAAGGCAATTTTCATCGCTTTTTCCGACTCCTTCAACTGTTTCTCACACTCAATTCTGACTTATCACAAAGCTAATCCCGGATTTTCCATCTCAAGAACTTTTTGAGGTTATGTTTGACGTTAAAACTGTTTTTTTACTCACGAAATTTAACAAATTTGAAGCTTTTTTGATCACAAATGCCCAAAAGTGTAAGGAAAATGTCAGAAAATGCTTGAAAAACATCTTAATCATATTGTGAGGTTATGAATTTTGCCTAAAAATATTCTTTAAGCCTGAAAATGAATAAAAATGGCGAATATCACTAAATAATGAGGGTTAATATGTCATTTTACAGCACAAATCGTGAAAATAATGAAGCAAAGAGAATTCTCTGAGACATTTTTGAGGTTATGGTTGACTTTTAACCTGTTTTCTAACCTAATCTTAAGTTTTTTCGAACACAAATCCGTAATTATGTGCCAAGAAAAGACAAAAATTCTCAATTTAAACTCAAATTAGATGTTTTTGAGGGTTATTTTATCACATAACCTCAAAATCCCGGTTTTTCTGCCTCAAGAACTTAAAAATCTTCAAATTCTTCAGATTTCACACCGTAAAAACATGATTTTAACGTCCCAGAACAATTTCTGTCTTCATTTTCCAGTTTAATCTTCAGAAAATGCTTCAAAAGAAACTCTGAATAAATTGTGAGGTTATGAAAGTCGACTTAAAAACCTTTATGAACTAATTAAAATCCTTTTCAAACAGATCTGAATATTTCTACTGGATAATAAAGGATAAATTATCAGGTAAAAAGACTAAAATGACATTTTTGAGGATCACAAAAGCCCAACTGCGTTAAGAAAATGTCAGAAAATGCTTCAGAAACATCTTGATCATATTGTGAGGTTATGAATTTTGCCTAAAAATATGTTTTTGCGTCTGGAAATGACTAAAAATGGCGAATATCGCTAAAAAATGAGGTTAAATTTGTCATTTTCAAGCACAAATCGTGAAAAGAATGAAGCAAAGAGAATTCTCTGAGATATTTTTGAGGTTATGGTTGACTTTTAACCTGTTTTCCAATCTAATCTTGAGTTTTTCGAACTCAAATGCTTAATTTTGCCAAGAAAAGAGAAAAATTCTCAGTTTAAACACAAATTAGATGATTTTGAGGGTTATTTTGTCA